CGGGCCGTGATCTCTTTATTGTGTCCACCCCCTGCCATAATTTTGGGGTCCTGTTTAGCATGGACATTGCAACAGAGTCACCACTAAGTTTATGATATTGGGCTCCCAGGGCAGAAAGTTGTTTTGCTAACTGGCAGGAGTCCTGGCCAATAGTGTGCATTTTAAGTTGATGTTATTTCTGGAGTACTCCAAGAGTTGTACAAAGGTACAAAAAAATTCTACATAAAAGGTGATAGTTCAATTCTGTGACTTTAATTAGGCTTACAGAGCTGATGTTAGTAACTTTTTCTGGGGGATTTGTTCTTTCATCATACGATACAAAGCAATATTTTTCTGTATCATCAAGTGCATCTGCCTTCTCTCTGCACTGAGTTGTCCAGTACTGGTTTGCCTGCTTTGTTTTCAGAGGCAAATGAACTGAGCCTTGGGTAAGAGTTCAAAAAACCATGTGATTTTCTGCTCATTTTGAGGTTTGATTGCAGCTACTGAAAGCGTGTAGCTCATTTGGTCTCTGAGAAAATTGTTATCTTAGCTAAGAAGGGCATTAGTGCCTGAAAGTTTTGTCCATTTCTGGGGACGCTTTCTCCGCTCAGCTTCATCTGTTGGTCTAATGAAAGAGTTCAGCTCTCTGCAAACCTTGCATCATTTACTTCCCCAGATCGTTTTAGCCACAGCTGCTGCTAAAACAGTCATGTACTTGATCACAAGATAGGACAGATGGTTGCAATGAGTTGTTCTGTGCTCTTGTAAGAAATGCTAATTTTCGGTTAGATGCTCTTAATTTTGCCCAGTTAAAACCTGTTTATGACCTGCTCTTGATATTTTACATTGCGTTTACTTCAGAGCTATCTCACTGTAGGGAGAAATAAGCAATTTTATCTACAGTTTCTTTTCTTCTAATGGAAATAGTGAGGGAAGGTCTAAAGCTGTGTTCTTCTGGAATTTCCCTGCTTTGAAAAAGTTCAAATGCAGCCAAATTTATGTAGCAGTAGCATTCGTGCTTTTTTAGTTTGGTGTTATGAAGATTTGAGGCATGTCATGTTCTGGTCATCTGGATCTCCATCATCTAGAAACTTCTGAACACATCTGCTAATTCAGTCAAATTTGATGGGGTGAAGTGGTCTCCAATATGTTGAAGCCTGAGCAGTTTCATGAAAGTAGGTTGCTGAGCAGAGGGATGGGGAGACCTTCCTGATGCCTACGCGGAGGGAAGGGCTTCGGTATGGGCTCAGCCCTCACTAGAAACTGGAGAATCCCGGGGAAGGCCAACATGGCAGACACCTCGCTCATGGGAAAACCTGCAGGCAGTACCTTATTCCTTATGAGACACGAGGGGATCAAACTACAAAACCAAACATCTGAGTAAGAGCCAGGCTGCCTGATTTCTGCTGTCTTCGTTCTTAGGTTTGCTGTTCCTGTCAAGCTGCCAGTTATTTATGTATGCATGCTCTTTGTGTTTCGTTTTAGAAACCCAAGCATCCAACAACGGGGCTAATTGCCATTACGCTAGCATTTCACATATGCCATGAAGTTCACCTGGCAGGCTTCAAGTACGACTTCACTGACAGAAACAGTTCTTTGCACTACTACGGCAATGACACAATGTCTCAGATGATGCAGGTAACACACACTTGTTTATGCTGAGAGGAATACAGCTGGTAACTGGGGAAGACAATTCAATATAGATAGAAGTGTGGACTGCAGGTCAGAAAGGCCTCCCGTCTTCTCCTGGTTCTGCTGCTCATGGGTTAACATCGCTGAATCCCTTCATCTCTGCTTTTGTTTCTGAAAAATGTGGATAATGGTATTTGTGTCCCTTGTGCTACACCGTATTCTGAAACGTCTGCATGAGATCCGTCCATTTGTATGTTCTGTTTTGCTTTGTTGGTGTTATCCTTAGGCTATGCAGCTCTCGTTCATAGAGGTATATTTGCTAGCACTGTCAGAACGTGAATAGCCTTGTTTCTGGTTCGCATTCTCTTTTTCCTTGGTACCTACTTGCACAATTTGTCATGGTTGCCAAACTTCTTAAAAAAGAGAAAGAAGAGCAAAGGGAAATGACAGGAGTTAAGACCTACAAACTTGCAGTCAGGAAAAGAACTGAATTTCAGAAATTGAAAGCAGAAAAGAAAAGGAGCTGTTGGAGGGGGGTGGGAAGAGGAGGAACTGCTTCCAGGAGGGGGAAGCCACAGCTCACCAGGAGAGGGAACAGCAGGAGGCTGGCAAACATCAGGGGTGCCTTCTCCTCCCTCCTGCTTTGCTACGGTCGTGCCTCTTGTTTTCTTTTCTTTCTCTGCTTTTGTCTTCAGCTCTGTACTCGGAGCAACTCCATCTCGGCCCTTTACCTCAATGTGAACAGTTTTCCATGTGCATGCCCAGTGCATGTGGGGACCATTTTCTTTCCTCCTCCCTTTCCTGAAGAGGAAGGATAGGGGCAATGCCCATAGGAGCCTCTCATGTCTCTCTGAGGACTCCTAGGTGCCCGCTGCTCTGAGATAACTTTCCTCTGACACTGAACTCGCCTTCATGTTGAGGCTTCTCTCTGCAGGTGCTTTTTTGCAATGTATACCAAGCTTGGGTAAGGTTGATCACGAGTTGAATAGACATCCATAAGTTTCCTAAAATCTTGAAACTTTAAAAAACAAACAACTAAACAAAAACCTTATCATTAATTCTTTAGTGGCATTAAGTTGTAAATATTACACTATATACGTATAATCTTTTCTGCAGTATTTGTATTATACTCATTTTAATTTACTGGATTCGGTGTCTAAGATTGTCAGTAAACTTACTTCCCTTGTGCTGTCCTCCACTAACCTCAGTGGTCTCTTGCGTATGCAGGATCTGGATACAGCACAGAAGACGGGTTAGTTTTGGCTTGTTGAAACTGATTGGCAGGATGCATCCGATTTACAAAAGTCTGATGTGTGCTTTTCAAGAACCTGCATGAAGCTTTGAGAATTAGTCATTTTCTGACTGCTTGTGCTGTAAATGTGGTTATGCAGCTATTCCCTCTAAGCATGGGGAGGAGTTGGGGGAGTTAGTAATGGAAGGACTTCTGTGAGACTACGTCTTGCCCATTCTTGCCGCTGAAGGATCGTCCCTTTTGGTTTGTGTCCTCCTAATGGAAAATCTAATCTAGTTTTGAGCAATAGAGTCACTCACCTGTTTTCATGGGAGACTGCGCTACAGTCTTTGCTAAGAAGTCTTTTCCCCAGAGCTTTCCTACTCTTAGCATCTTCCAAGTATCACAGGTAATTAAAAGGAAAGAACAACAAAATGATGCTTCTGGTAATAATTTGAATTTAATTTTTTTTATTATTCCCTCTCGTCTCTTTAGAATGAATACCACAACATCAATGCTGAGCAGAAATTTTTGAAGAAGCTTATAGACAAGAACTTTGTGGTCAATTTGACGTGAAAGTTGAATGGAAAATACAAAGAACAATCACTATTTTCAAGATTTGAAAATTTTTTATTTTTTGTATGGTATTTTTATTTTTTAAGTGCAGCATAACTGTTTACTGTTTAAAAGGAGCACAGAAACCTCACCAAGGCAGAAGCTTCTTCTAAGCCTGAGGGCAATGGACTATTGCAAACTGAGTTAACTGAATTTCTGTGAAGCTATTTAATAATGGGAAAACCATGAAACTTTCAGCTGAAAGTATCAGGGATATATAAAAATGTGATGCACATCACTTATTTATCAGCAAGAACTCTTTCCAGATGATTACTTCTCTGGAGTACTTTTGTTTCTGATGTTGTCCTCCAAAAGAGGACTTACACTGTCAAGAGGCTGAGACGCCGAGTGTTTAATTAACAGAGCGATGTAAAGTCTTGAATATCTGTCTTGTACTATGAAAATGGCTTTAAAACGATGCCTATAAATCATTACTGTGTGTTTGGGAGAAGGGGGAACATACAGAGTGTACAGGTTTTGGTCTGCCCTGCTCCTGAGGAGGGGACGTCCATCTTCAGCAAAGAAGCCACAGCTTCTGCACTGGCCGTCGACTCTGAACTGCTGTCTGCCTTTGCCGAAGGTGAAGACCCTTTGGTCGGATTTGTGGAGATGTTGGTATTGACAATGCTTGTGTTGTACCCAGTTTATGGAAAACCATACTCTCCGTGCTGTGCGTCCAATAAATTTTACAGTTGGTGACTTGACTTAGAAAAGAGGGATTACGAAGACTGAAGAGTTGTCCTAACTACCTGCGTGTCAGCCGCTTCCCCCAGACCACAACAGAAACGTGAGCTGGGATGGAGATATTCACGCCTAAGTTTAAATTTAGAGCCAACGCTTGTTGGATTCGTAGATCTCCAGGACAGGATCTCATGTATCTTTCTGTTTGCTCCCCAAGAATCAAGGTGTATTTTTCCAAACCAGCACAATCTCCTTTCTCAGATACTGTAACGCATTTCCACTTTTGAAATACGTCAATATGAGCAATGAATGTTCCCATTTTTGGCAGTGGAGTGTGCTAGGGAATACCCAAGATGTACCTCAGCTGAATTATCATTTGGCTTCTGTTTACCTCTCCTGTCTTGACATTTAGGTTTACAGGATGTGGCTGAACTAAATCATTTAGTGGTGGGAACTTACTTGGGATTTTAATTGAAACGTTTAATGGTATGTTTATGTTTCCTGTATTGGCTTGTCTCGGACAAGCTTGCTGAATAAGTTAAATCGGCCTGGGAATGCCCTTGACAACTGTCAAAGAAGAACAAGTAATGTGCTGTTCCAATTCTCTCATAGGGTGTGTATATAGATATATTATGTTTTTTAATTGTGGCAGATTTGCTTGAAGATCTTGTGGTTATCTTGATCAATCACACCTAAAGAAAGCACAAAGAAGTCTACTTCAAAAAAAAAAAACAAAGTCTTTGAAGCTGGTAGAAAAACCTTTGCTGCTTTTTAATAAAATTATATAGAGAGTTTTAGTATGTTTAGGAGCAGTGCAAACAATTACAGTATGAATACAAACACGCTATTTGTGTTTTCAGAAGCTGAGGATTATACGAGTACTGAAAACAACTTCTTTGCTGCGGCAATGTAGAGGAATAAGCATTGAAGTGACCAAAGAGTCATCTTTCTTTTTTCCTAATTCTCTTGCGGAGTTCCATAGGGATTTAAAAAACCCTACCTTCCCGTAGTTCTCATCTCCCTCTTTAGCTCCTTGGCTCTGCCATTTGGGAATTAGTGAGGGCAGGGAATTGGAGGGGAGCCACAGCCGAAGGGGAGGAGGCTTGTGTTTTCACCTAAGGACTCCTGAGCTTTGGTGCGTTTCAAGCAAATTGGACATATTTGCAATAACTCCAGATGTCATAAAGATTTGTGGCAGGGGGTGGGGAAGGACCCAGATGCGTCCCCAGCAAGGGACGGGCTGTGCCACGGCGTCCTGCCAGCTGGATGTGTGTCCCTTGGGCCCAGCTGCTGCAGGGGGTGGCCCCTTGTCCAGCTGTGCGCGGGGCGACAGGCGAGAGCGTGGAGGAGAGGGGAGCACGGGAGGTCCTGGGGCACTGCTGCGGGTGACTGTGGTGGTGGAAATGGAGGAAGCCAGAATTTCTTCACCAGGTGGCAGAAGGGCTCTTACCTTCTGTTTCCTTTGTTTTTTTTAATAAACGTGCACATTTCTGAGGCTTTGAGGAGATCTTTGCTTAAAAATCTGAATACAAACAGGTGGGGTTTTGCAGCAGAAAAAAGTGACACTACTGTCTTTAATTCTCATGATTATTTCAGTTAATTAAAAAAGTTTGTATGTGACTCTGCAGCCCCAGACCTGCAGCGCATTAGACTACTGACAGTAGCAATTCCACATGAACAAAATGCCGAGGTAAGGCTTTTTGCAAAGGTCGCGGTGTTGTCCGAGCTCTCTTTGTGTAGAGGTCCCTTGGTAGACCTTAGACCTTGAGAGCAGAGCCAGGCGGAAGCGGAGGGTGGCCTCTTCCCCCTCGAAACCCACGGTTGCTCCCAGAGCCGGGCCCCTCCCAGCTCTCCCATGGGCTGCCGCCACGGATCCAGTTGCATCTGTGTATCGTTATGCAGCACGCTGACTGAGAGGATTTTTTCCAGGAGAGCTGTTGAATTTGCCCTCTCCTCGCAGTGCCTGGTTCTTGTGATGGTGCTTCCCTCTGCTTTTCCACCCCCGCCCCAGCGGCAGGAGGCGGGTAGGGAGCTGTGGTTCTGAGGATGTGGTTGTTTTCTCTGCTTTATTTCCTCTCTGGAGATATTCTTCCCAGTCATCTAAACGGACTCCTAATTTTCCTAGAAGGTTTTCTGCTTTTTTGGGTGGTTTTGTTCCGCTATAGTTAGAATCCCCCAAAAATAATTGGAAAAAAGGCTTCATGGCAAGGAAATGGTATCCCCCCCAAACTCAATTTTGCTTAAGGTAGACTCCTTTATTTTTTTTTTTTTTTATTACATTTTTGTCTCCCTAAGATTACTTTTTTATAGTGTTTGATATTCTCAATGTATTTAATGTGCTGTCTACAAACATTTATCCGTATTGGCTGCTCCTTTTTATTTCTTTGTGATAAGCCTCCCCATTTGTATGACTGACTTATTTTTGAAACGAAGCAGTACTCCCAGGGATATTTTTCCCCCACTTCCGTGCTCCTGCAGGGATGTCGAGTCCGTGTGTGCCAAGGTTACTGTCCCCAGCTGACTAAGGAACATTTAGAGCCAGACCTGTTCACTCGGGACCGAGCCAAGAGCTGACACTGCTGATAAACCACGGGGTACTAGTTGGTTTTGTTTTGAAAGCACAGCTTGCAGGCCGGTAGCTTTTCTCTTCAATAATAAGCAGTGACCCAAGTGATTCATTTCCCGTCCCCTGTAAGATGTGTTGGTAGGATTCTGTGTACGCCAGCCCTGCTTCATCACCCGCTTCACACGGTCATTTCTGCTCCGTGCCTTGAGGACAGGTATCGCTTTTACACTAACTTCATGCAGGCGGGAATAGCTATACGTAGCGCGTTCCTCAGTAATGCCCGCAGATCACAGCGTCTATTCTATCTGGGCACGCGCTTTCACAGGTGTTTTGCAATACCAAAGACTTGCCTTGGGACCCTTTGAAAAAAGCAGTAGTGCTAACTCCGAATACTTAGATCTTTTCTGAGAGTGAGCTGCTATTAAGATTTTCTTTTTCCATTTCTGCCATTCCTGAGAGTGAATTCTCTGCACTGAAACTTCCCTTTAAAAGCTACCCAATCTTTTTATCGCAGCAGCAGTGAAGCTGCCCATTTTTGAATCCCAGGGCACTGCCAACTTTATTTCCATGTCTGGCAATGGTGTAACTATATAGGTACCCAGTGTCTGCCATCAATTTTCTTCCTGAATCAATTGCGAAGTCAGATGGTCTCATCCCTTCCTTCTCTGTCCTTTTCTCCAGCAGCCTGCTGAATTTCAAGGCAGCAGCATTTTACAGCAAAGGCGCTCCTGCATTTTACCTGCCGTGCCCCCTCAAAATGCTGCACTATCAGAAAGACCCCGCTCTAAGGTACCAAAGTACGCACCAAACAGGCAGGATGACATGCGTCAGCTGAAAGCTCTGTTTGGCTCAGACTTTTAGGGGTTTTGTTTGTTTGTCTTCTGTTGGGAAAGTATTTTTTCCTCTGCTGTAATAATTAAGGGAAGTAGAGAGAGATGACTTAAGAAGGAAGGTCACAAACTATTGCACTAAATACGAATCTGCGAGTGCCTACAAGAGATTACTAAATGACATGTCCAGTGACTGTATTGGTGATAATAATACAGAATCACAACTTCTGTGTTTAATAATTAGCGTGTGGTACCTCTTGTTTCCTATGCCGCACTTTCCTTTTTAACAATGCCCCGGGAGGTAGTATAAATACCTTAACTTCTAAGTGGAGTCTGATTTTTAAGAACATATGAAGCTCAACATCTGTTTTTGGTATTGGTAAATACTTATTTTATTTGCCATTTGTCTTAAGTTTTATATGCCTTTAAAGTGCCAGCTGTATTTTGAAGACATTCTTACAGTTGTTTCAAGTGAAATTTCGAATGCTACAAATGGAAAACGATTATTTTCCTGTGAATAAACTGTGTTAAAGATGGTGCCCTCAGGCTTGTTTTTGCAAGGTCATTGCTCTGTGTGTGTGCAGATGCGCGCGTGTGCCCAGCCCCATTATTAATGCTGTGTAAAGTATACACAGGGTTGTCAGATACGGTATCGAGTTTCAGAACAAACTTTGGTGCTTAGTAGAGCAAACGGAGCTGAAAATTTTTGAACCTGGGTAGGCTGAGCTGTACCGTGGGTGGAGATCTCGCTCCAGGCTGAGTAAAAGCAAAGCCAAGACATAGTTTTTGTGGGTAAGATCAAGAGCAGCATCTTCCTGTTTTTAGTTTTTCATGGTTTTTTAATCTTGCCTGTCTTACTGGGGACTTTCAGGGGAATGCTAAAATAAAAGATGTTTTAACGAAGATGATGGCATGTGACGAAAGACTTTAGATATAAAGTGAGAGACACTGATTGCGATGTTTTGTTTTGTTTTCCCTTTCTCTTTGTGCAGTAAAAATGAGATGCTGGGGAGCGGGGAGCTGCTTAGCCAGCGGCTTCAGGGAGTCGAAGGGAGATTTAGAAAACAATTACCTGACACAAGTAGGTATTCCATGCATTCATTTTAGCATCGACAGTTTAGGAGTTTGCCAGCTTGGAAGAAATGCCTGTCTTTGAGGTGAGATCGGGGGAGCCACACTGTGGGTTATAATTTGCTCCCCGCAGCAGAGCCACAGTTGAATAGTGATGTAGATCAGTGACAAATACGTTGCCGCTTTCACACCAGGTTTTTGCTGCGGTGAAAAAATGGGGAAGGGGAGGAATGGGAAAAGCTGTTTTCAAATGACAGGGAGAGCCAAGGACGTGGTGTGCATCTCCCAGCCTGAGCAGCCAGCCCTGGCTTTTTGGGAGAGCGCGAACCCTTAACAGCGCACCTCCACGACGTCCGATTTTTTGGCTTCCCACGCGCTGCCTCTGTGCCTTTTTAAGCTGTGCTCCGGCGTCGGCTCACGCTGAGCGGGCGCCCGTCCCCGCAGGCCTCCTGCGGGAGCCCTTCGCTCTGCCTGTTGCCCCAGCCCCAGCCGCGCTCTCCCACTAAGTGCGATGCCAGGACGGCACCTTGCCCCCAGAGGCTTAGGGCAGGTTTTGCCTGCAGAGGGGAACTAAAGAAAAGGGTATCTCTTTTTTTTTTTCCCTTCACATCAGGCTGTCAGTGGCTTCAGAGAGTCCTTGTGGTCTGATACACGAATTCAGCGGGTTGAGTGTTCCTTCTAAGAGTTCTGCTGAATGAAGACAGGATTTTTTTTTTTAAGATATTTAATAAGATATTTTTTTCAAATCAGTACAAAAATTTTAAATACAAAATTATTTGCTTTTGACATCTCTCTCATATTCTGGGAACATACCAAAGTCACCAATGCCTGGTAAACTGTCCGTCCGTTCCTGCCACCATTCCATAAAATTTCTGAGATAAAGCACCACATTATATCACTGGAGTCCTTAGTCAATGTTAGACTGCATTAAACTCTGCATTTAAATAATGGTAATGCCAGTTAAATCCAATCTTAGTTCTGCATGAAAAATCTAGTTCATTTTTGAATCAAAAGCGGTAGCGTTAGCTAAAGACATTGAAGAAGTGATGAGTATTTAACTCTTTGAACTAGCGTAACAGTGTGTGATGTGCAGCACTGTACAGGGAACCACAGCAAAGTACACTGCCCTTTGGAAGCGAATACTTTTGAGGTGAGATTAGCACCATTGATGAACAGACAGCTCTTGCAGAAAAGTTGCTTTCCTCACATACAGAGAAGATCGAGGCCTGCAGGCTCTCCTTGACAATTGGTAACATATAAATAAGGATTGGAAATCAGCTTTTATATTAAATGAAGTTCTTGGATAAATTTGCGTGATCAGTATTGCTGGCAAAGTTATTGGTTGATCTCAAACAACAAATTAGTTAATTAGCAAACAGAGCTACTTCTGCTTTGCCTAGTCATTGAAGAGTAAACTGATGTAATTTTCGCTGAGTGGCAGAATAGGTGTCTCTTCTGACAAGCCAAACAGACGCAGGTTCTTAGCACGAGCACAGAAATCCCACCGAATTTATACTGCCCTGCTGTATTGCCACGTGTTGGCCAAAATGTCTCAATCACGTGGCACAAAGCAAATGGGCAACCCTTCATTTTTGTCTCTATCTACCTCATCTACTTCAACTGCGCAAATGCAGATGGAGACTTTTCAAGTGCTGTGGCATTTGGAGGTGAACCCAGCGCCTGCTGGAGCCGGTGGCGGCATTCTGGGTCCAATGACTGCTGGAGAAGGCTCGCAGGGAATAGTTACACCGTCAGTACTCCTTCTCCATCATAAATAAATTGTTCAGGAAAAAAAACACACCTGCAGGAATATTTTATATGGGGGAAGGGAAATAAAGGTCTCCAGCTAAGAGAACCTTTGCTTGTCAGGCAGACCTGCTGTCAAAAAGCCAAAAAAACCCCACCCAAACAAATAAAAAGCCACTCAATTTTTTCCATATAATTTGAGACAGACCTACTCTGGTTTAAGTCACTGGTTTTCATCTCATAACTATGATCAATGCAACAGTCGAATATGCAATAGGAGTGAGTGACGTACACTGATTTGAACCTTAGTACTGAATTATTGTGAATGCAATGAAGTAAGCATGGCATCACAGAAATATATAATGTACAGCTAATATGTCCCCCTCGGGTGCGAAACAACTGTTTATGAACCTGATACACATCTTTAGATATGTTCACCACACCTTTTTTTTATAACTAGCTGTGCATAATGTTAAACTTTGGTGTGGGGTGTTTTTTTTTTTTTGTAAAAGATGGTCCAAAATGGTCATAAAATGCATCTTTCATGGTATAAAAGTTTGAAGCAGAGAAGAAAGGTTTTGATTTTGTGTGTACAAGCTGGGCAGAATGTTAAACTTTGGTGTGGTTTTTTTTTTTTTTTTTGTAAAAGATGGTCCAAAATGGTCATAAAATGCATCTTTCATGGTATAAAAGTTTGAAGCAGAGAAGAAAGGTTTTGATTTTGTGTGTATGTGTGTGTGTGTCTGGTTTTTGTTTTACATGGGATACAATAAATATCCTGAAAAAGATGAATGAACGTACTGCCCAGCATAGAGTCCTGCCGCCTGCTCGGATGGCATTTGAACGTAAACCTTGTCTCCGTGCATCAGCTGGACAACGGCGCTGCCCGAAGCCTGGTCCAGGAAGCCCTTCTTGTACTCATCGTAGGTGTACATCAGCGGCTCGTTGTTCTTGAACAATGCCACCCAGACGCTGGCCCCTTTACAGTGGATGTGGTAGGCGAAGTAGTAGACACCAGGGATCTCGCAGGTGAAGATCCCCGTCTGGGGGTTGTAGTTCTGCCGGCCGTTGTAGAGGAGCTTGTCGAACTTCACGGGCACCCCGACCCGGGGGAAGGGGGTGAGGAGCTCCGCCGTGAA